AATACGCACACTCATACAGGTATTTCGATTTTTAATTGGGTATAAATAATTCTTACGATACGAAGTTATATAAAATTGATATATATTTTACAATATTTGATTGAAGTTTTCTATTATACAGGGTTGGTAGATATTACACACAGGATTGGTAATAATTCTCTATTATATAAAATATATACGTACTAATACGATATATTTTAGCTTATATTATCGGACATTAATTTTTTTCTTAATATAAATTCATTTAAAAGTAGAAAGTTTAAAGTATCTCGACGCTATAAGTCTATTTTGCAATTAGGGTCACAGAGGCTATCGATAATTCTGTTGCAAATGAGACGATTTTATCAAACAAGATGTTGTGATGAACAGCAGCATAATACTAAAGAACAATTTATGCAGTCGGTAGACGTGACGGATAGAGATAGTCTTGCCAACGAAGCAGTATCTTCTGTTGATGAGTTAAATATTAATAAAAATATTTTTGATGATTCAATGCATATCGAAAGTAGTAGTGAAACGAAATTTGGGGGGGGGGGGGGGGGAGGTCGCTGAACAAGACGGCACGAAGAAGCAAATGCCATATTTGCCAAAAGAAATAGAGAAGAAGAGGAAGAGAGAAGCAGTAGGGAAGAAAATGATGGGATCGATCATGTCAATAGTGCCGATGAATAAATGTTTTTTAAATAATGTGTGGCATTTTTATTAATTACAACAATTTATTTATCCTAACTTTTATCCCGATTAATTTCATATGAAAGGTGAAAAATTTTTATAATTATGACTATCAATTCAATTGGAATGTCGTAAAAATATTGGATAATGAGACATCATATATAAAAAGATTGGTTTCACAGATGATTTACATAAAAAAAAAACAACAATATGACTTAAATAAACAAAGCGATATCGGATTACTCTCAGATTCATTATATCTACCGATCCTTAATTTGTTATCCTCTTCTTGATTCTAGTCCTCCTTCCATTTCTTTTTTTCCTTTTTCCTCCAAAATTAATCCATCCCCCACTCTTCTTCTTGTCGGTTCACGTCAGTCATTTTCATTTGAAATGTATCTGTTAAACTGTCTACTTGCGATTTATTTCTTTGTCAGCAATAACGATATGCTTGTTTCCTCCTCATGTATGCACTTTATTATTGTTAATATTGTAAAATTATTGGCTTAAGAACTTTTATATTATTGCAATATTGATTTTTGTAATAGATATTAATTAACTATTGAGTCAACCGAGGAGAGAATACAGCAAAATGGATACATAATTCGTCCACGATAATCTGAGATTTACTATGACCGATTTGATGTATGTACACGCACCGGCAGGAATGATTTCCCCTGGCGTTCGATGTACGGTACTACACACGTACCGAAGCGCACACGTACATATTATTGGAAATGCGGAGGAGGCGAGGAACACGAAGAGAGAAAGTAGTGGGGGACTCCGATATTCTGTCCTTAACGTAAAGTGCACGATTGAAAGAGAAAGTGTAATTGAATATAAGGCCGGCTTGCGGTGTCTCACACATTTGTTACTAGTATGAGTGAGATATCTCGGTATCTCTTGCTCGTAAATGTTCATAATAATATTTTTATTATGCACAAAATGTTGTAATTATGCATACAAATTTTTAATATTGTAAAAAATTTCTGTACATAATTATAACATTACGTGTAATTTTGAAACTCATTGTAATAGCTTTGCATGCATTTATAAATTTGCAGTATGCAAATGAAATTAATATTTTGTATTGCAAGATCGCAAAATTAAATTTACAATTAAATATAAGAACATATGATAAAAAAATATATTTATAATATAATGTATACATATTTTTTATAAATTCAAATTTTTTTTTATTTATTTTATTATATGTCCTTATTAATATTGTAATTATGCACAGAAATTTTCCCCTACTACTTTCTCCCTTCGCGCCTCTCGCCTCCTCCGCGTTTTTAGTAACACGTATGTGTGCGCTTCAGTACGAGTTTGTAGCGCCGCACGTCGAACGCCAGGGGACACCATTCCTATCGATACGCATACATTGAAGATGACTCAATGTGAATCGAAATGTTTGTAATTTGAAGAATATATTTTATTGTTAAATTATAAGCACGACAATCCTGCTTGACTCGTAGTCTTTTTGAATTATTTCGTTTTTAAATTTTTGAGTCTATAATATATCTATTGATTTCTTAATTTTTATAATTATTTTAGTAATAACAAGTTTATATTTTCCGATTTGATTATATCTTTGATTTTTGCTTACTGAACAAATTAAATG